TTCTCCCCCCCACTCCCGCCCTCACTTCTGCCTTTTCTCTCCCTCTCTCTCTCTCTCTCTCTCTCTCACGTGCACGTGTGTTTGTGTGTGTGTGTGAGAGAGAGGGAGGAGGGCAACCCCCTCCCAGTCAATCAATGAATCAATGAATCAATGAATCAATGAATCAATGAATCAATGAATCAATGAGTCAATGAATGAATCAATCAATCAACCAATCAACCAACCAATCAATCAAAGCCAATCAATCAATCAATCAATCAATCAATCTATCAATCAATCAACCAACCAATCAATCACTCAACCAATCAATCAATCAATCAACTTTGGTTTATTGATTGCTTGATTGATTTATACACACGCGCGTACACACACACACACACACACACACACACACACACACACACACACACACACACACACACACACACACGTTTTTGTTTTCCCCCCCCCAAAACAGCGTGCTCCCCCGGTGGTTTCTGACACGCGCAACCCGGTGGGGGGCGCGCGTTCAGTTTTCTCCCACCGTATGCCACATTGCGCTATTGAACGCGTTTGAACGCGAACGCACGTCAAACGCGTTCAAACGGTTACGTAGGCATCCACCAGCAGGTTCTGCAAGGCCGCTATTCCAGTGGTGGTAAGAGAAGCGCCGAAATTGAGGCTTTGCCTATCGGGTTGCTCCTTCTATTGGTGGGGAGTGACACCTACTTTGCGTGTGGCCCCCTTTTCAGTCATACATAGCCTGCTGGAGAGGGGAGGGAAACAAGCTACCCTCCCGCTGGGAAAGGAGGAAACAAGCTTTTGTGCAACATAAGTTCTAGGCTTGGTTGGTGTTCCCCCGTACTATACATAGGGCTTCATTAGAAACTCCTTAGGAGTTCCTTGAGCCACAAGGAGTTTTCCTTGTGGTTCTTAAGGGACATTTGCGGCGGCGTTCCATGCATCCTTGGGGACGCCTACCGAGGATGTTTCCTTGCGGCGTGCCCACAGCCATTTTCATACGGAAATTTGTGGCCGCGGGGTCGGTTTTCCGTGGTCCACCATCTGTTGTCCGTGTGGAGGCGGCGTGGTCCAGCGACGTCTGGCAGGAAACGGCATCAGGCGGGCGACAAGAAAAATAGACCCACGTTACCTCAACATTTGAAATTCGAATTTTGAATGACGGCTGCGACGACGACAACGACATGTGGCTGGCGGCGCGAAGTCGGCGTAGTGCTGAAACGGGCTTAGCGGCGGTGTCCCTTCCGCCCACAGCCCGTTGTGAGTGCATTGGCATCGTTGGGTGCGTTCATCAACATCGACCTTCTTCCACGTCGAGTGCGCCGTGAAACACATTTCTGTCTTCGCGCCTCCAAAGAAAGGCGGCAGCTTTGTCGGATGTTATCGGCTTATTTCTTTGGGTGTGGAAGGACGACACATACGGCAGCGGAGAGACGGATCCCTGTGGAGGTTGCGACTATGGAGGGCGGCGGAGAGGGCGGACGTGCGTTGTTGACACCACTTGAGCTGCAGGCCGTGGCGACGGCCATGTCGACGATTGTTGTTCGATATGAGCAGGAGAGGGCGCTATAGCGAACTTTTTTTTGTAGTTGCGCTACTTTCTGCACGAAGCTGCTTGGGGAGATACGACGGGTCAGACGGGTGAGCTGCGAAGAGAACGAGCTGGTCACCGTGGTCGGGCAAATTGCATGGATACCCTCGTTTCTTTTCGTTTTCTGAGGAAATTTGTCGGGTCGGTGTCGAGAAAGTCCCGCACCAACGATTGGGTAACCGTGCCTTAGCGAGCGCGATGGAACGGTCGCCATGGCTTGTTTCTTGTTCTGCTGTGAGCGCTAGGAATTTTTGGCGCGATCATCGCGTGGGAATATCGTTTTTGAATTTTTAACTGACGTCGAGCCCCCACGGGCTCGAGGAATTGTTTTTGGGCTCTTCGGAATTTCTTTTTTGCAATTAAACTAGGAATTTAGGTTCTCCGAATTTTGCTGCGCCACGCTTGCGCACATCTTGTTGCGTCAGGAGCTGGACTCTGACTGGATTGCGCCCTTAATCTTGTGTAACTTTCGCTTTTGGCGTGCAAAAAAAATGCAAGTGTATTTTTCTTCTTTCTTGATTTTTTCCTATTTGCTCGCCTTCTTCTTCTTTGTTTTGCACAATGTAATGCCCCGTCCTAATTGGCCTGAATGCCTGCATGACCGGATCGATGCGTGGAGTGTGGCTATGACCCCCACGTCGCGGCCTGGCCATGCAGACGTAGGCACTTCCTCTCTTCTCCCTCTGACCACTTGCGCTTAATCCCGTATCCTTCTCGCAAGCATGCATGCTATAAAATCCGCAAGCGTGATTAGTTTGCTCTCTATGAACCTTGGAGTTAGCGTGATCAGTGAGGGTCGACTAATGAGTCAGCTTGAGAGGTGAGTCGACGAGAGAGTTGGGGGATTCGACGAGTTGGCGCAAGGTTTGCTCTCTATGAACCTTGGAGTTAGCGCGATCAGTGAGGGTCGGCTAATGAGTTAGCTTGAGAGGTGAGTCGACGAGAGAGTTGGGCGATCCGACGAGCTGGTGTCGGGTATGCGGGGTTGACGTGTGGGACCGCGACGGCATGTGGCGCACGGGCGAACCTCGCTTGCATGCTCGAACCAAGTAGGGTGACAACTATGTGTTGATACGAGGCGAGGGACTGTCAGTATCGGGGATGTAGAGCAGAGAGAGAGAGAAAGAGCAGTTGTGTGTGCGGGATGAGGTCCCTTCTTTTGCTTATCTGTATAATCTTGGTTTCTGCGATGGTCGATTTTGTTGCGGCCTTTTCGGATTTTTCCTTGTAAATCGTCTCGACTTTTCTTCGTCGCTTTTGCCTCGCGTGTATGCATGAATGGATGTGAACTCTTTTTCGTTAGTGATCTTTTCGGATTTCCAATCTTGTTTTGTGATGCCTGTTTAATTCAAATTTCGTCACTTATCCATCTGTATGAGCAATACTCTCAGATGAGTCAGATCTAATTGGAAGCACTCGATACGGATGCTTCGATTTAATCGTTAGTCTCCGATCATCGTCAGATCACCAGGAATGTTGTGAGGTGTTGATTGTGCTTTTCCCTTTTCTCTCCTTTTATCACATGAATGGCATGGATGTGAATGTAATGTTTGGATCGCACCCAACATAGCATGAGTAGGATAGTTGCATGCAGGACGAACGCTGAACCGATCCACTTTTGCTCTTGTGCACGCTCATGTACAACCGCGAGCTCGAGGGAAGTTCAGGGAACCGAGTCGCAACGTACTCGTGCGTCTGTATGAGTCGACCTCGAGTCCATCACCAGGATGCAGAAAACCGAATTCACTACCTGGATATGGCTGTAGAAATCCCTTTCGCTATGAAACACCCGTGGACGCGTCCGAGGGGTCGAGCTCGGATGGCGGCCACATATACGGCCGCGTCCGTGGCCGACCTCGTCCGCGCCACGGACGCGAACTTACCATATTTTTCCTGAATTAAATAATGGGTAAAAAAAAAAAATGGGGCAGATAATGTTTTAGAATTATAAAAAATAAAAAAAACAGAAAAGGTGGAAAAGAGAAATAAAAAACTATTTTTTTTTATTTTTTTTTTTAGGGTGGGGAATTTTTAGTTGGCAGTTCTTTGTATTCTGCGTTTTTACGTTTTTTTTTGTTTTTATTTTTTTGTGTCCTAAGGAAACAATCAAGGAATGGAAAATATATATATATATATATATATATATTTGTGTTTGAACGTGTGTGTGTGTGTGTGTGTGTGTGTGTGTGTGTGTGTGTGTGTGTGTGCGGGCACGTGGTGGATGGCAGGGGGGTGGGGCGACCCCTCCCCCACCACTCAATCAATCAATCAATCAATCAATCCATCAATCAATCAATCAATCAATCAATCAATCAATCAATCAATGAACAAAAAAAAAAAAGCGAAATCGAAAGAATATTCCGCTAGAACATGGAATTTCAAATATACAATACTGTGTGTGTGTGTGTGTGTGCGACTGTGGGGGGTGGGGGGGCGACCCCGCCCCCACCA